GATTCTTACTTCCTTGTCTAGGAACTTTTTCACTGATTTAAGGAAGGCATCCGTGGACATGCCAAAGCCGCAGTTTGCAAGCTTAATTAGCCAATCTGCAAACTACTTTCTTTCCTCATTTTTTATTTAAAAAAAAAAGCTTGGGGAAGGGACCTCAACCCGACGGTCAAAGGTCACCCTCCTATTTAGTCTGACCTGCAGTGTTGATTTCTTCATGCTCAGTCCCCACAATAAGCCTGCTTTTCTAGCACTAATTCCTCCTTCTTTCACATCTCTCAATCCCTTTGCGACATTTTTCAGACCGTTGCAACCCCATTGTAGCAGTCACAAGTGAGGAAAGTATGAGAATTCCAGGTTCAACCCAGACGCTTTCAGTTATATATAGAAAATGCAGTCACGCGAAACAAGCCGTGCACACGAAATCAAGTCGCCTCTGAATGAGTGTAGAAAATTTCCATATGGAGTTGAGTAGAATTAAATTTTACGACTATATCATATATCCTAAGCTTTAATTATAGTTACTGATATAAAATAAATCTTAACCGGATAATGTACACAGCTAATTCATTGATTCTGTACAGCAGAGAAAAAACTGTCCGGATACTGGGCACATGACATCCAAACTTAGTGAATGTTTCTGGCCTCTGTTATTCCAAACAAACCGAATCTCAAGAAGAATTAATAAACTTTCTGAAAACCTGACTTCCTTAAGTATCTTCACTTTAAAAATAAAACAGTTTCTTTGAAAGTATCACACATTACCCTCCCTTTTCTGAGCAGTACTAATTTTACTGCGCAGTAAACAGCGTAAATATTAGCCATGAAAAGTTTACTCACCTGAACAGAACGGCATCTTCTGCAACTGTTTCGCAAGCTTTCAAATCGGCAAAACTTTCATCTGAAAGCTGAAATGTTCAGCTTTCAGTTGAAATACTTCGTTTACCGAGAACTGAAAAGGGCGCCTCAAAAATTGAGTTTTTGTTTCAAGTGTCCGGATACTGGGCAACATACTGTACTGGGACGTAAAGGGTTAAAATTAAAATGGGTTGATTGTTAAATAAATTTCCCTCATCAGCACATAAGGCTTAAAAGTATAAACTCTTCTGTCAGGTTATCCACAGGTTTACAGCAAAGAAGAACAACAGGATGAATCCACAATTCTGCCGCCCATTTGTTATGAGACCCAAGCTTGTCCCTGTTGTTGTTAGACCCACTGTTCCAGCTGATTACAGAACATTTGATCCACCTTCTCCTACATATAACATTCCTCTGTTTCCCATCCCTCTTACTGCTGATGCTGCCCTAACAACACGAAAAACCAGATGGGAACTAGAAAAGCTGGGCAGTCCTACTGATGGTTGGACTAAGGAGTTGTTCTTTGAGCTTGCAGCACAGAAGAACGGTATCAGAATTGGAAAAGAGCAGAATAAAGGTGATAGAAATTACTGTATGTGTTTGGTCCACCGTTGTTTGGTCAAACCTCTTCTATAAGCTACCTCTAAGAAATGGCCACAAGGTGTTTTCCTGATCACCATTTATTTTTTTTTAGATTTCAACCATGGTTGCAACTTAGTTGTTGTTAAAGTTGTTGTTTTTCCTCAATTTGATTCCATTCTTTTAAATCATAAAAATGATGCCTCACTATTACTTTGGCTTCCCTACAGCTTGTAGGTGCACTTGAATTTTCATTTTATAATGTGTGATGGTGCCTGCAAGGAGCTACAGTGTATTAGAAGTACTTTTTATATTGTTAGAAATGACTCCTGGGTTCAAACCCTTCACAGGTTAATACACAGTAATGATATAATTTTTTGTCCTGCAAAGTACATGTACTGTTGGTTAATAGTGGTTCACTGACCATAGGACTTTATCTCTCCTTGACAGCGGGAGCAACAGCAAAGCAGAGTGGTTCTCTGGAGGACTTTAAAAAGATTGCTGAGAAAAATGGAATAATTGTTTGCCCAGCAGGTAATGAAATACTTAGAAAAACCTAGAGGTGTGATATTATTACAGTTGTACTTGGATATTCTATAAAATTAGTATTGGAGATGATCATTAAATACGAGGTACATGTACATCACACATGATTTGAGACTATTTGTGGCTCTCTTTGGCCATTATTGAAAACATATAAAAGGATTGTAACTTGTCAGCTTTTCATCCAGAAATGAACTTAAAATCTACCTCTTCTTATTACCGGAGCCAAGTAATTTTGAGGGAGAAAAAAGATACTTGTTAATGAATCGTACAAGCCTTATAACAAGAATTACACCTGCGGAAGATACTGGTTCCATTTAAGTGGCTATAGACCTCTTTAGCTTGTATGTTTTGTTTTCCCAGTACAGGTCATGTGTTAATACTCTAGAGAACTATTTCTTTCAAGTTTTGTTTTATTCACTTGCATATGTGTGCATAATTTATGAAAAGATAAGGGTCAAGTTCCCCTGGGACTTCTATTGGGACAGCAAAACATACAAGGTGAAGAGGTCCACTGTCACCAGCCAGTACTTTTTCCTTATTGTGTCAGCTCCTCTATCTAATGTTTCTATTTACTGGGTAAAATGTCCAGTGGTTGTTACTGGAACTGAAAGGCATTATTATAAGATGATAGGGATTCAGAGAATTTTTCAGGTAGACATTTGATCTGCAGTATTGTTGCATGTTTCTCAGTTTAGCTCTTGTTAAAAGAAAGAGTTTCCTCAGGGTTCGCAAATACGCCAAATTTGGCGTATTTTATGCCAAAATTGTTCAGATGACTCCACTGATGTTACAGAGGGAGTCACTTCGACTCCAAAAATTTTCGGTAACAAACAGGGAGCCACTTCGACTCCAGAAATTTTCGGTAACAAACACAGTTTTGTCCTTACCTTTTTCACAACAAATACAATTTACATTAATTGTAAACATTGTAAACCTTAATTAAATCATCGAAATTAAAGAATTATACTGCACGATAAAACAGGAAGAGGGTAAATTACGATCAAAGTTTACTCGATGACCGCCATCATGGATTTGAGCTTTCCAGGTCAGCGGACCACCACAGCTACTTCGTGTGTCCCTCACTATAGTGTATACATGCTCGGACCACATGCTGGAAAGTCTGATACTTGACTCCAAATATTCCAAAATGACTCCAAAATTTGTGAAGCAGAAGTCACACTGACTCCTCTCATCAATAAAATTTGCAAACCCTGGCTTCCAGTTTGGCATGGTACATTGCAAGGGCAAACAGTGCAATCTTAGTTGCCCTTTAAAAGAACTAATATATTCCTGTTCTATAATACCAGCAGGTTCAAAAGATAAAGTAGCGGTCACTAGTGCATATAGTTCAGTGGTGAACAGTACATCAGATGCTATTGGGGGAGATGAAGGAACACTCATTTCTACAACATTGGCACAAGTTGTGTTATCAAGCAGCAGTTTGTCAGCAGAAGCAGAGAGTTGGGAAAACTCTTGTAGAGAGACACATGTTGGAAAAGTAGAGAANTCCAAATATTCCAAAATGACTCCAAAATTTGTGAAGCAGAAGTCACACTGACTCCTCTCATCAATAAAATTTGCAAACCCTGGCTTCCAGTTTGGCATGGTACATTGCAAGGGCAAACAGTGCAATCTTAGTTGCCCTTTAAAAGAACTAATATATTCCTGTTCTATAATACCAGCAGGTTCAAAAGATAAAGTAGCGGTCACTAGTGCATATAGTTCAGTGGTGAACAGTACATCAGATGCTATTGGGGGAGATGAAGGAACACTCATTTCTACAACATTGGCACAAGTTGTGTTATCAAGCAGCAGTTTGTCAGCAGAAGCAGAGAGTTGGGAAAACTCTTGTAGAGAGACACATGTTGGAAAAGTAGAGAATGCTCCTGAGGCTACTGGAAGTGCAAGTGAGTTTGAAGCAGAGGTGGAAAAAGAAATGAATACTGTGTTTCCTGTGAGTGATCTTTTCAAGAATACTGTGGCAGGGAATTGCCTCAGAATTGAAGAAACAAAGGACTGTGAGAAAATTCAGAAAGTTCAGGGTTACAGTGTTTCTAAGGAATGTGAAGTCATCGATGAGGAAACTGTACACATTGTAGGAAAACTGTCCACAGAAAATAAACCTGTCACAGGGTCTTATGAACCAGTTGTGAGTTTTGAAGCTCCAGGAAAACCTGATGCACTTCAGTGTGAAAGTTTTGAAACAAAAACTCTTGAAACAAGAATGGGAAAAACAAGTTCAAAAGATGAATCTGAAAACCTAGATGTAGAGAAAAAAGAAGAGAGTTTTGAAACTGACAAGGCATCATGTGACACTGCTGCTCCTTCAGGAACTGTGCTCGCAAGTGAACATGTTGCAGCAGGTGAAAGGTCTTTGACAGAAGCTGCTCAAATCAAGACATTTCAAGAACTTGCTGGCCTCAATGGTATTAAGGTTGGCAATGTTTCAGGTGAAAATTATTCAACTACTAATTCCTACAAAGAGCTGGTCTCAGGGGCTGAAAGTGTAGCAGATACTCAAGACGACCAAGACGCTCAAATTGCCAAATTTCAAGAAATGGCTAGATTGAATGGGATTAAAGTAGGTGATGGAAATCCTAGCAAGAACTCTGGTGACAGTTCTTTGGAACAGCTTGAATTTATAATGAATCAGAACGCACAAGGCAGTGATTATTATACAGACATGTACACATGTCCTTATGAGCTGGATCCAGATCCGCAAATTGCCTTGTTTCAAGAAATTGCACGTTTGAAGGGTATTAAAGTAAGCAATTCAAGATCTTCATCGCATTGCTCTAGTTCGCCTGCTCCTAGTGAAGATCTCTTCTTCCCTCAAGAAGACATGCTTGATCCCCCAGCAAAGCAATCTGTTGTTACAAAGAGAGGTGTCTTTGAGGAACTGGCAAAAAGAAATGGAATAAAAGTTGGGAAAAGCACTGAAACACCTGTTGGTGCAAAAAAGTGTCGTAATGATTGCATTGCAACACCTCCAGTTACCAGTGTTACACAAGCTAGTACGCAAACTGATGTCACCGTTGTGTTCGATCGTTGTTGTCAAACAGGCATGGAGACTAACAAGACCATAGGGATTCAAGTGAGTGCATCCAAAGAGGCTTTTGAAGAGGAGTATCTGCTATGGAAACTTGATGACAAAGCCACTGAAGATGAAGGAGATGATTTGTGTTATAAAGATTTGTACTTTGATGAAAAGAAATTGCGGGAAGAACTGAATACATGTCTTCAAAATGAAAAGGATGTGTCTGCCAATGCTAGACATAACCACAAGCGAGTTATGGATCAGTTAAAAGAGGATATTAGTGGGAAATCTGAGGAAGTTGAGGTGAGTATAACTTACATGCACACAGCAAACGTTCAGGCAAGGATTACTGTGAGGTGCACAGCCTATCTTGAACATGCACATTGTGTGCATCTTCTTATCCTGCACCCTGTATTATTTTCTTTTGCTTTTGGTTTGCAGGCACATTGTCAACAGACTGTTTAGAGCAAAGGCTTTTCTTTGTAGCAACAATAATTTTTATTGTTTTTTAGAAAAATTTAAACACTAAAAGGTGGCAAGGGTACACTTGACAGACCCTTTCTGGGCTCTAACTGAGTTTATCTAATCATTAGAAGTTGTTATACTTAAAACCAGATTGTCTCTCTTTGTTTTCAGAAACTAAAGAAAGATCTCAAAAAACTTAAAAGACACAAAGAAACTGAAATCAAACGAATATCAAAGGAGCTGAAGTCCAAAGAAGAAGACCTGGAGGCGACTAAAATTGCCCTACAACTCAAGGAAGCTGCGTTGGAGACCCTGAGGGTAGTAGCTCATGAGCAAACTGCTAAGCTGAAGTCTCTGGAAGAACAACTAGATGATATGAAGACAACTCTGTTAGCGGCCAAGAAGAGCAATGACTGTGAAGCATGGTTGGTATCTCTTTCTACAGTTTTCATCTACTAACCTGTTGAGAACCTTTGATTTCAAGGGCTCTGTCAAACGGGTCAAACGGCATCTAGCATTAGTAGGTCCAACAAAATTGGAGGGTTTGAAAAAACTGGAATTTCAGCTTGTCCTTTGAGCAAGCAGCTCTTGCATTTTGCTTGCCCAAAGCCTGCGAGCAAGCTCTCTGGGGTGCTCTGGCGGTGGGGCAGGAAAAGAAAGGAGAGCTTGCAACTACATCTATGGAATTTGAATATCTGCATTAAAAAAGTCGATACAAAATGCTGATTGGCAGAGGTGACATTGATAATGATGTCATTACCCTTGGCACAGGTTTTTCAATGTTTGTTTACATTCGGGGTCATTATACCTTCACGCCGATTGGCGGAAATCTGACATTTCAGTCAACGGGGAGCCACAGGGGAATTGCAGGTGGAATTCAAATTCCAGAGACGTAGTTGCAAGTTTCCTTCCTTTTCCCACCCCACTGCCAGAGTGCCCTGAAGAGCTAGCCCCATTCACAGGCTAGCTTGCCCAGGGCGACTTCATGGTAATGTGGTTTTCGTAAAGAGACAGTCATCTTTATTAATCTCCTCTTTTTTTCTCCTCAGCTTGAAAAGAAAAACAGAAGCTGAAGGTGATGGTGAAACTACAGGCCTCAAGGGCAGTGACCAGGAGAAACAGAATAATGATGGCTGGACAGTTATTGTAGGGAAAAAATCAAAGAGTCCCATGAATAAACCAACCCTTGACAGAAAAGAACAGGCTGTGCAGCAACATAAAGACGTGGACCAATTGTGTGAGATTGACTTGACAAGTCCACCTCGTTCATATAGGCAGTCTGTTGGTCAGAAATCAAGCGTCAGTGATGAGCAAGATACCAGCTCATGTAATGCTGAATCTTCTGAGTCAACGGGAGGCAACAATGCCTGTGGTGAAGCAAAACCCCCTATTAGTGTGACACCCACTCAAGTAGGAAACATCACAAGGGCAGAAAATTTGAAAGAAGTGCCATCAACATTGTCAAGTTCGGCTCAAGAACCACTTTTGTCATCAGAAAAAAATCAGCCAACTGTCCCCAGCGATACCAATTCAAATGGACAACAGTTTCCCATGAACATACATTCTAGTAATGGTCAACAACCAGTGCCTATGATTGCTCCACCAGGGTTTCCCACACCAGCTACTCCATTCCCTGTCGTTCCTCCAGAACTGTTATCCCAGTATTTGTGTAGCCTGCAGATGATACAAAACGGTGTTGCTTCAGGTGGTGGGCTGCCTAAAAATTCTGCACCACTACGCCGTCCCCCTGGTCTTAACACTGAGCCTGTACCAGAGGGGGAAGCACCGGAGCATTCCCCACCCCCTGCCCCTCCCTCCGCGGGCAAGTTCTCCTCTTTTGACAAGCTTATGGAGGCTCTCCAGAAGAGGTTTCCTAGCAAAACCAGGTAAATATCAGTCCAGATTGTGTTTTTGCAAACATTTTGTCAGAGGCTTTTATTTTCATTGTTCCAACAATTGCTGCAAAATTAAATTGCTATCAGCGAAAATATCAAGAGAGTTTGTAAATAGCAGACTATCCAGTCTATCAGTACTGATATGTCTTGTCGGTCTAGAGATCCGTATCTCTCTTTCAAATCTCAACTTCAATGTCAGAATCCTCGTTCAGGGTCATTGTGTTGTCATTGTTCCCCTTTTTTACTTGAAACTTGACATTGAACAAGATGCAATGCGCAAACCCTTGGTAATCAAGCAAGAAACTGACTAAATTGAATGATTTTGCTCTTTTTTGCTATTCCTAGTATATTGGAATAACTGTCAAGGGGGCATCTATTAGACAGGGCGGTGTTAATTGGAGAGGAGCGTCTATAATTACAAACGTAAGGTCGTAGAGAGAGCGTTTATTCGACAATAGGCGTTTATTTGAGATGGGGTGTCAGTGAGATCACTTTTGGTAATTTCCACTCACCGGTTACAGTGTCACTTGCACACTCCCCTTCCCTTTGCAAGTCAGTCAACATGTAATCACCGCCACGTAAAGGAAAAGAAGGTGTGAAGACCTGATGCGTTGTAGACTAGTGTTTGTGCCATCTCTATTCAGGCAGGAATTAATCTTGTATCTAAAGAAAGCAAAGGCAGTCTGTGGTTCAGCGGGCTTCAGAGGCAAGCAGATACCTGATGTGGTCAAGTGTGTGGAGGACTTGGTTGAGCTTGAGGTATTGTTAATCTTCCCTTATCTCCTCTCTGCTAGTATTAGCTAATATTAATTATAAGCGTTCATTCTAAAGTTCTACATAGTGGCACAAATGTCCAACTGTCTGTAAGAACTGGACATTTTCTAAATAGAAAGTATCATTATTTCAAGGAGTAACTATTTTTTGTTACAAAGACATTGAATGTTTTTCCGGTGTTGACTAGTGTCTCAGTCGTGGTCCTTTGTTTTCAATTCAAGATGGTTTCTTAGCTTTAGGTTTGGATTCGTCAGTGTATTTTTTTTATTTTTGAGCTCTACCTCGGGTACTTCTGGCTTAATCAGAAGCATTGTCATTGAAGAATTTTCGCAGCACGCCATAATAATCTAGGTTGAACTGAGATTTGTCAGTTGTCGTGTGATGTGTTAAACTGGAAAAACGACACAGTGGCCACAGCTTCAACGATCCACCATTACCAAGTTTAACGAGATGGGACATTGTGATGCATTTGTTTGTCTGTTTTTTGCGTCAGTTCGGAGGTGTTGCCATGTTGGCAGGTGGGGACTTCAAGGCCTGGGAACGCCCCCTTCCTTTCATGGGGAGAGAGTTCATGAACCCTTAAAATCCCAAGGGTGACCAAGATCAATTTTCTCCTAACAATAGAGAGCTTAATTTTCTGAGACGACGACCACTGCGATTACGAGATTTTCGCAGCACTAAGTAGTGCTCTTTTGGACCGTGAGCCAACGTCATTTTGGCGGGAAAACGTGATAGCCGTCGTCATTCTACTACGAGTTTTAGCGAGAATGTCGCAGCGGCGGGAACAAGTTATCAAATTTGAGAAGTTTAATCATTTTGCGACCGGGAAAAGGCTAAACCTTCTCCAATAAAAATAACTGCTCTTATTTTTCAGGTGAAAATAGTACGATGAAGGTTTTCGTGTTGAATATTTTTGAGAATACGCGCAAAAACTTTAAGTTAAATCTCGTATTCGTTCTCGTCTTCTTATCTAAAGCTCTCTAATATCAATACATTATCCAGTGGAGAGGTTATGAGAATTGACAAAATGATCATCTAAGGGAAAATGCTGCGATCTTTTTTCAAATTCTCTCAACTAGTTCCGTATGGAAATGTGTGGAGATCAGTATGGAGAATTTGATTATGGATATTGGACCTTAAAGGGTTGATAATAGAACTCCTGTGTCCAGCGTCGGTGTAGTTTAGTTTTCTAGTACTGTAAAGTTGCGTGATTTAACTACCATTTCCTTAATGGCCACGGAATTAGTTAAAGCAAGTGATTTCTCTGTCGTCTTATTTCTTTGTTTACTTTATTTTTATTTTCTTTGTTACAGGGAAGTCAAGAATCAGAGGGAAGGCAGGAGTAGCCTACTGATCACTTAAATACCTCGTTGTTTTGTTCAAAAGCATTTCCTTTGGCTGGCGGCTATTCTTGAAGCTTGCTCCCATCTACAGTGGTCGTGACTATGAGTCCTCTGTAGGAAAAGTAATAACTTGTTGATGTTCAAATGCACCGTTAAACTTTGCTGGGCACATGACCGATTTTCAAGTTAACAATACTGTTGAGTAGCCAGAGTTATGCTTCTGGTAAGACCAAGCTGAAGAACTGAAAGAAGTTTTCGATTGACAAGTCCAAACGCAAATATTCCGCAAGATCATTGTTAAAAATTGTCACGCTGAGCAGTGCTTGAAGTTTAGTTCACGTAACTTGGCTGCAGCTGCAGCTGCCAATTGATTGGTGATTTTCATTGCACCGTGCACTGCCAAGGGATCGGTTCACGCTGTCACCTCTAAATGATCCCTAAACGCGTACCACTGTCGAAGCACTCAGCTTTTATGCGAGAAAATGGTAAAGACAATTGACAAAGCCACTGCTTTACAGCATCTGCCTGCTATCAGTTTTAAGCGTTTTGAAACATAAAATTCCCATCATGTTATTTTCGGAGCATGTCTTAACTGATATTCAATTCAGAGACAGCTCGCACGAAAGACCAGTGCATCTTAAGCGGTTGGTAAATAAAGACTTTATCGTTGTGTTTGTAAAGATAAATAGACGATGCAAAGAAAGAATTTCGATTAATTGTTGAGCTTTCGTTTGTAGTCATCAAGCAAATATTGATGCTAAAATCAGTAAATAATTCCCAATTAAATTATTCATACCATGACTCGATGTACTACATTTTGTGTTTAAAGGAACTCGTGTAGGGGTGAACGTGCTATAGGCACAGGTAGCCCAGACTATGGGCTCACTTTGCGAGAAACAGCAAACTTGACTCTCTCAGTATTATTTCCCGCAAGAAGGTGTTGTATTTCGGCGGTTTGTACTATTAAGGTTTGTATGGTAATGCAACCATTTAGTTTTGAAAATTGCGGAATTTTCTTTTTATGAGTTCAAACCTTGATACCGTGTTGTATTTGTTGTTGTCTGTCAGCCTGCTGTTGTTTGTTTGTCGTTTCTTTTTGCTCTTTTGACGTTCTCGATGTCGCCGCCGTCGTGGTTGCTACAGGATCCCTAGTTGTCGTTCAAAAAGTGACAAGAAATTGTTGGGATAAGAGAGAAAAATTGGAATCGATAATAATTTCAGCCAAATGTAAAAAAACGAAACACAGTGTCAGTCGACATGAAATACTTACCGTAAATGACGTAATGAACTCCCGGGGCGTCTCTTTAATTTTAGGGGCTTAAGCAGGGGGGGGGGGGGGGGCCTTAACCGTGTGGGGGGCTTCTTTTTTAGACGTAGAATAGGTCGGCAAAACCCACTGGCTTTTTGGAAAAATACACAAGAG